CTTTTCAGGGACCAGGCAAGGAGGAAATTGGGAGCAACTGGGGGGGGGGCAGAATTTGGGGGGATAGAAGGGCATGGAAAGGTTCCTGAAGCAGAGAGGACCTTTAGACAGGAATGATTTCACCTCCATGGAGTGGGTCAAATACCCCCCCTCCCCAGCATCTGGGGGTCCCAGGGGTTGAACCCCATGGTCAAATATTCCACAGCAGGGGACCCACCCCTTGGATTTCCCCACTGAGACCCTCTCTGTCCAGCAGCTTCTGCCCAGGGTCACAGCTGGTCAGCCGGGGGAAGATGCTCGTGAGGACCAATTTAGTTCTGCCGGCCAATTCTGCCCCTTCTCTTTCCCGGTTTCTCCGGCAGCTGAGCGAAAAGTACGGGCCGGTCTACACGCTCCAGCTGGGGCCCCGGCGCATCTTGGTGCTGTGCGGCTATGAGGCCATTAAGGAGGCCCTGGTGGACCAGGGGAACGAGTTCCGGGACCGTGGCCAACAGGCCACCTTTGACTGGATCTTCCAGGGCCATGGTGTGTTCCAGGTTCTGCGTCCCCCAGCGACTTGATGGCGAGTTTTGCTGAGCAGCCGTCTGTGGGGGAAGCCATATTTGATGTCCCTTGCACTAACCAGGAATGCTGGAGCAGGCGATGCGCTCGGTCCCTCCACCTCCCTCATTTCAGGGTTGACTCAGCATGACCCACCTTTCAAGGCACCTGGAGGGGCCCTCCAGGGAGGGAGCTCCGTGCTGCTTCTGCCGTCCTGCTCTGGGCAGTCCTGCGCTTGTTGGGAGGTCTTTCTGGGTCCCAACGCCCCTCCCCCCTTGTCTTTCGGTCTGCAGGAGTTGCCTTCAGCAATGGGGAAAAGGCCAAACAACTACGACGGTTCTCCATCATGACCTTACGGAGTTTCGGGGTGGGAAAGAGATCCATTGAAGAGCGGATCCTGGAGGAAGCCCACTTCCTGCTGGAAGCCCTGAGGGGCACAAAAGGCAGGTGGATTTCTGGAGCCCCCTGAAGTGGGGCCAGGGGACAATCCATAGGGGGAGGGGCGAGATAAAATGGCACAAGCTTGGCTAACAAAGCCCAAAGATCCAAAATGGGAAGTTGACTTAAGCCATCCAAAGAGGCTTCATCAAAGGCACCAAGACCACCAAGGGAAGGTTCCACATCTTGCAACCCCCCCGCCCGCCTGCCCCCCCCCACTTCAGCCTGGAGCATTTTATCTGTTTCTTTATGGGGGGGCAGAGTTTCTATTTGCTTTGGCTTCCCCAGCCTGCCCAGCGCTTGGCACAGCCGGTGGCAGCCTGTCCTGGTTCAGGGTCCATGTCGCTTTCGTTCTCTTGGTGGGCAAAGGAAGGTTGTGCTCAGATTTCCCTGCTGGTCTCAGCAGTGGGCACACACAAAGCCTATTTTGGAGGGTCTGAGCTCCCCCTTTCTGGCCCAGGGGTGCCCACAGCATCGGCTGCTCTGTTTGAGCTCCCGGCAGGGACTCTAGCTGCAAAAGAGTGCCCCCCCCCTGCCTCCCTGCTCCCCAGGAGGCAGAAATGGACCCAGAAGCCTTTGAGGAGGGTTGAGCCTGGCACGACGGAGACACCAGAGTTCTCTGTCTGCAAGGCCGATCCTCAGACCCACCGCAGGCCCTACAGGAGCATCAAGGAGGGTTTCTCTCCCCCCCCCAGGAGCCCCCTTTGACCCCACCTACTTCCTGAGCCGCTCCGTGTCCAATGTCATCAGCTCCATCGCCTTCGGCAGCCGCTTTGACTACGAAGACCAGGAGTTCCTCTCTTTGCTGACCGCAATACTGGAAATTTTTCGTTTCAGCTCCTCAGCCCGGGGACAGGTAACCCCCCCCCCCATCCTGCTGCTTCTCCTTGCAGAAAGCATCCCTGTTCATTCAGGGCTCTGACCCTGGAGGCTCTGGGGCTGAGGTCCTTGAGGAGAAGCAATGAAGGTCTCCTGTTTATCTGCCTATCTCGACCGATTCAGGAAGTGCCCACTTTCAAAACCTTTTTTCCAATGTGGGATGAGACAGAATGCCAGAGTTGCCCCAGACTTTGGTTGCCTGAAATGTACCTCAAGGAGCATTTACTCCCCTCCCAGTGGAGAAGGCAGCAGTTGGTCTCTCCTCCTCCCACACGGGTGAAGGAGGTCCTTCTTCTGCAGACCTCTGGGGGAGGAAGGGAAGGGTCAGGGGCCCACGGGTCTCCTGGGATCCTCCCCTCCCACCTCTGCTATCCTTGCCAGGGTCTTCTTCTCCCAGTAACCCCTCCCTCTTTCCCCCCTTCCCCACCTGCCACCCGACCTGCAGCTCTTGGACATCTTTGGATTCGTGCAACACCTCCCTGGCTCACAGCAAAAGTCTTTCAAGATGTTCTTAGAACTGAAGGCATTTGTGGCCAAGAAGGCAAAAGCCCACCAGGAGACCCTGGACCCCAACTCCCCACGGGATTTCATTGACTGCTTCCTGGTGAAAATGCTGCAGGTAAAAGGGGGGGGGGGCTTGATGGGATGATAAAGCCACAGAGAGAAACACTCAGCCCAACTCAGATGAGGGTCCTTGGTGCTCTCTGAGCTTGGCTTTTTTCCCTCCTTTATTTGGAAACTTGAACGGGACCAGATGGAAACCTTGGAGAGATTCTCCGTCCGAGGGTCTTCTGCAGGCAGTTTTTTTTATTATTATTTTTTCCCTTCTACAACACCTTACAGTCATTACATCAACATTGTTATGTCATCATACCTGTACATGTATATAATATTTACACACCTTTATACACAGTTGTCTCTATATATATTTATATATATTGTTTTTTGGCTTAATTAATTTTA